GACAAGATGCATGATTATTTATTATATACATTTGTTCAGTAATGACAGAAAGAAAATGATTGGTCACTGTGTTAGTTTGACTTCATGATCAATATTGCTTCTGAAGTATTTGTAGGGAATTAGTAAAAAATAAGATTTCACTTTTACAGAAATCCATATTTTAAACTACATACCAGTTGAATGTGCCCTATAATGACTTCCTTAAGTATTATAAAACCAAATCTTGATCTAGTTACTGTACATTTGATATACATGCACACATACACACATGCACACACACATGCATTCACATACATAACTATATATACCTTTTATTATCCAGATAATATATGTATCAGTGGGTTTTTACAATAGATTACTTTCAATATGTAGGTGTAGATTTTTTAGACTACATGTTCATTGTCCATCCTTTTATAACAATTTTGCAAGCATATATAATTGGTATAATTGGAAGATTTTTCATATCTGTATCAAAGCACTGCTGCAAACATTAAGTGTAATATGTATATAACGTCTGTCTTTTTCTGTGTTTTTATAGCGTCCCCAATTCCTGCTCTACTACATATGAGCATTCACATAAAAACACACAAATACTCAAATTGACACATGTATTTGCTTACACATGAACACAAACAGTGAGTTATAAAACGCTGAACATTCTGCATGTGGTCTCTAAATCTTTAGAAACACAAAGTATCAAATTGCTTTGAAATGTGCGTATGTTATCTATTTTGAAAAGCTCTTGAGAGAGCTCTGGAATATAATTTTCAGAAATGGTATCTAGGAGATAATGTAGAATATACAGTGATGAAAGACAGCTTTAGAAGTGTCATTAGTTAGTATGTGAGACATGCTGATTATAATAGGCAAGCACATGATTACCTTTATGAGTTTTACTCATAACCAAAATAAATAAGCAAATATTTTGGTTGTATTTATTTCCTGACATAAGCAAATATGTAAATGCATCTATTGAGACAAAGACAAACATCTTTTTGAAATTATGCAAGTATTTTTCATAAGGCACATGTGTCTATAGTTACATTTTGCTAAGCACACAAAATCTTTATTAAAATATAACAATCTGTAAGTTGTTAGTACGTAAAAACTAAAAGCATTGATAAGGCTTATTTAAATTTAGATAAATATGTGCAAACACTAAGATAACATTCAAGATATTTGTTTATTTTTGAGGAAGAGTTTCATCTTGTAGTTTAGGTTGGCATAGAACTTGCAGTGTAGCTCAGGCTGGCTTTGAACTTGCAGCGACCATCTAACCTGGGCCTGCTGAGTGCTGGGACTACAGGTTTGGTCCACCATGCCCTGCTAGAGATTCTAGGTATTTTATTTTGCGGTGATACAGCATGTGTTATGGCTTGTGTCTAGATGTCCCCTCAAAACCTCATGGGGTCATTAATGGGGATTTTTCAGAAGTGGCTGGGTCTGGAGTTTGTGAGGCTGTAATTCATTCATGATGCAATGCATGGATCAAAGGCACTAGTATTAAAGGAGTGAGTGCTATCCACTCTTAGTAGCCTGGGTAATATATAAGGGTTAGGAACAGCTATGCTTGTCCCTTGGTTGCTCTTTCCTGCCTTCTTGCCATAGACTATATCTCCTCTGCTATGCCCCACTGCCATGCCACCCTGACTTAGCACCAGCCAACTAAGAGCTAAAACCTCTGTGAGCTATGAGCTAAGTAAACCTTCCCTCCCTTAACTTTCGGTGTTGGGTATTTTGCTTTAGCATTGAGAAGAGTAACTAAGATAGCATGATATACTTGATTTTTTAACAGTTCCTTAATTTCTCTCATGTAAGATGTCTGAAATAATATTTTAGGAATATAAATGTATGCATGATTGCACATTCAGTGTACAAATCATACTTTTTACGTATGAAAAGAAAGATTTAAACAGTAGATGTGATGAAAACAGTTTCATAAAAATTTATGACATTTATTTTTGCCCAAAGCAAAGGCCAATTAACTTTAGTAGGATATGGACGGAAAGAATGATTACAAACTGAAATGTATCATACAGATATCACATATTTTTGAGAATTTGCAATATATTTATTCAAACAGTAGTATTCTGTGCAATGAGAAAGAATCTTAGTCTGAAAAAGTATAAGGGCGGCTCTTATGAAGAGATTGCTATATTGGTAAAATTATTTGACATTGTATTTTATATAGATCCCTATCACTACAGGATCAGGCTAATCAAAATTAGTTGAATAAACTAAGTATAAAAGAGTTGATCTTTACAAGTGTTATTTTGAAACAGAAATTCTATTGTATGTTACTGAATATACATGCACTGTTTCATGAAGAATGCTCACAACAGAAATGCTATGTATAACTTTAAACAGATACAATTACCTGTAGAGATTAATGTATATTTTATATAAATTATTGAAGTGGTCCTTAAATAATTAATAATGATTTAAATATTGAAACATAACAACAAATTAACTTATTTTTTACTCACGACTCTACTTCATCAGAGAAACATGTCAGTAATTAGCAAAAGGGCTAAAACCTTAATCACACAATCGTATCACATAAAAGTTTAAAAATCACACTAAATTTTCGGATTGAGAGGACTGAAAGCATACCGAAAGGAAGAGACAACAGTAAGAGTATATATTAATAAAAATAAACAGAAGCAGTATAAATATAGAGAGTTTTCAAACCTATTAAACCATTACTGATAGCTCTGATCTTAGAATAGTATTTATTTATTTATGTAGTACTAGGGATTGAACTCAAGGCCTTCACACTGAGCTATATCCCAGCCCTTTTAATTTATTCAGTGTTGTAACTTTGAAGCATTGTAATCCGCCTGCCTCAGTCCCCCAGACTGCAGATGTAATGAGAGTTAACTTTAGAATTAAGAGCATCTTTTCTTGTGTGCTGCTGTGTTCACCTGCATTTATCTGTTCATAGGGTGGTCTTTTTACTGAATGACTTACCATCTCAAATGCCCTGAGAAATAGAAAAAAAACCGTTAACATCGTTTTTCCAGTGTGTAGCTATTATGTCTCTATTTTCTTTTGAGAGAACTCTAGCCTTTAATTAAAAAAAATAGAATAGGTAAAGTAATTTCTTTAGGTTTTTTATTTTTTTTTTCTTAGCTTGTATCACGCATAAAGTAAATAAGTAACCTGTAACTAAAATACTACTAGACCTAAAGGGAAGTCTTTCTTCCTCCTCCGAAGGGGGAAAAAAAAAAAAAAAAAAAAAAACAGGCAGGAAGTCTAATAAGAGACATGATAAATGTAGAACAAAATATACCAAAATCCATGGTATCCGAGAAGAGCTGATCATGCATAGACATTGTTCCAGGGCTTTCCTGGCAGCCTCAGTCTGTGAAGCACTTTTAGAATTGCCTAACTCCTAGGCCTGTGGTAGGAGGGGAAAAATGAATGAATATTCCTATTGTTCTCAAGATACTTTGAGGTGAGATTTCTTTGCTCATGCACCCTCAGGCTGTATCTTGGGGCAACATTAACCTTGAGGATTGGCCATAACATTTCAAATAAGGATAAGCAGTACCTCCACCAAGCTATTATAGAAACAAAGAAACATCTACTGTCAGCATAGATGTTCTAAATAGGATACAGGATTAAAGAGTTACATAGTAAAAATGGTAATTTCAGAGTATAATAAGGTGCTGGATTGTCAATTGAATATAAAAACAGCTGCTTTAGATATCAAGATAAATGAAACAGCAAGGGGCTGTCTAACATCAGTATCCCCTTTGTTAGTGCTCATTTGGCGCCACTTAGAATTAACACATTTCTTACCTATTCTTTAATGACTCATCAATATCACATGCAATATATCAATATAAGGAAAATGACAAAATTTGTAGTAGTGAACTAAACTTTTTCCTGCAGATTTGGATGCCTGTAATTACCAGAAACTAAAAGTTTGAATGGTGAAAATATTTTATTAGTAATATTACTATGCTGCTATATAATCAAATACTTTTCATTATACATACATAAGAATATGAATGAGCACTTGATATTTGGCTGAGTTGATAATTATTAAAATGTTAATATGTAGGCATTCTGTTCTGAAATTTGATATGTTAATAATTTATATACTATTTAATATTTTGTTTTTGTATGTTTTCTATGCATTTTTTCTCATTCGATTTGGTACTTTTATTCCACCTAGGATCGACAGCATTTGGTTTTTTTTCATCATCTAAGTAACACTTCCCATGGAATTTAATCTTGACTTTTGACACAGTTTTGAGAAAAAAATCATAGACAAATGTTTTCAGAGAAAAATCGATCAGCACTCCATTTCTTTAACTCTGACCCTTGTGTAGGCCAGAAACCCACCTGCCCTTACACTAGCCTACTACATTTCTGTGCATGCTGATCACGCTCATCTTTGGACCAGACTGAACCCTTTTATGTTATACACTGATACAGTGCCTAGAAAGTAAAATAAAATTTACATTTTTCAGTATATTTCAACCTGCACATTTTGAGGTAATGTGGTTCAATAGTATCGTCATCACCACTTCAAAAATGCACAGATACAAAGATACAAATAACAGATCTTCATGCTTTTTAATGCAACCCGCTGCGTAACAAAGGAATCCCTTTGGTTATATAAATGGTGAATGTAAGAATTCTTCAAAATGACTAGGAATTGCCAAAAAGCACCAAGCTACTGAATACTCATAACGGTGATATCCTGCAGGTATTTTTACGGTTCATTTCTAAGCTTGTTTACCCTAGTCATATTGTTTGCCAAGTATCTTCCACTTTGGGAAGTTTTCTGCAACATTTGAAAAGAGTTCCTTAAAGTGATTATTCATTCTGCTCCACTGATTGTGTAATTCAGCAAGAGGATCTACCTATTTTATCTGGTAGTGAGACATATTTCAAAATAAAACAACTTATTTTAACAACTAGAGATGATATGCTATCTTCTAAGTAATACACTAAGGTTTTTTTGTTTGTTTTGTTTTGTTTTTTAGAGACATGGTCTCACTATGAAGTTTAGCCAAGCCTTGAACCTATAAGGAGTTCAGTCTGGCCTGGAACTCACGAAGATCCTCCTGCGACAGCCTCTCTAGTGCTGAGGTTCCAGGCATGTTCCCCCACACCCAGCATTAAAGGGTTATATTTTAAAAGATGTTCATTAAAATTTTTAGACTTTTGTTACTTAAAAGGAGTAAATGGAAAAGAAATCTAAGAAGAAAACTGTCATTTATTATACACAAGAATCTTCTACAAGAAAAAAGATGTTGTAATTTTTGTAAAGAGTCACCTTATGCTTTACTAAGCATCTTTATAATGTTTCAGTTTGTTATGCTTAAACCTTAAAAGCATAAGGTCTGTTTAGGTATCTAAGATCCTAGCAACAAGAGGATTGTTTTAAGCCATTTGTTACTTTGCTTGTAAAACAAACTCCTTTATATAGAAATAGAAAAACAAAACTGTTCTCTTATGAATCCTTTAATTTATGTTTCTGGCATTTTACTTGTTTCTGGTTGAATTATTGTTAGCATGTGAACTTTTACTTAAGATGATTTATTCTTGCATCCTTAACTTTGTGGAACCTATATAGAAAGTATGCATATATTAAACTGAACTCTTGTTTTAAAATAATGACATTAAACTGAGAACTTGGGAGTCAATTTAATATAATTATAAAATGTAAAATAGTATATTCTGAATAATACCCATATAAGCATTCCTCCAGGTTTGAAGCACATGCAAAACAAATAAAATTGAAGAGTTTATATGTGTGCATGTGTGTTATTTTCCAGTATTCTGCTCTTACTGGGGTTATGTTTTAAGACCCCAGTGGATACTAAAACAAAGAAAAGTACCAAACACTATATTGTTATATATTTTCGACCCAGACCTACAACAAAATTTAATTTATAAACTAGACACAATAGGAGACTAATTGCCAGTCATGGTGGTACATGGCTTTAATGTCAGCACTCAAGAGGCCGAGGTAAGAGGATCGCTACAAATTCAATGCCAGCATGAACTATATAGCAAGTTCAAGGTTAGCCTGAACTATAAATCAAGACCTTACATCAAAATAAGAAAATAATAAGAGACCAACAATAATTTATTGTAGATTTTAGCAACTCCAGCCTAAATTGTCTTTCTTTTATTAAGCTGAGAATTCTCATCTTTTTATTAAAGAAAATACTGTGCAGCTCGCCTTTGACCTATGTGATTGTCCACACTGCAACGCTTATTCTTTGGCAGAAAGTAAACTAGGGGTTGTTTAACAAGTACTGTAATTCCAGATTAGACAATTGGAAAACCCTGATGCGTACTAAGTGGATGAATGGGTTGGCAGCACATACAATATAGGTATTCCGGAAGAGTCATTCATCCCTAAGTAGGATGGAGTGGAATATTACAAGATTGTATCTTGCTGCTGAAGACGGCATGACGATCATAGCATGTAAATTGCTTAATTCTGAAATTTTCCAGTCAGTATTTTCACATCATAGATGAGAAGTCACTAAAATAGTGGGAAGCAAAACCACAATGGTGAGGGAGACTGCTATATGACGTATTTTAATATGAATGAAAAGAAGTAGGTGAAAGGTGAACACTGAATTTATTAGATAAAACGGTGTCTTAGTTACTGTTCTTTCATTATTGACACAAAATATCCAGCACCCAAAGTTAAAGGGTGAAATATTTATTTACCTCATAGATTTTGAAGCTTCAGTTCATAATCTGCTGGGGCAAGTAAGTGGCTTGGCATAGCAGAGAGTTCATGGCCAGCAAACTGTAGCAAAGCAACAAAGGAGAGAGAGACAGGCTTCTTTCTATCCCTTTTTTGTATTCAGCATACTAGGATTAGGGCAATGCCAATCCAAGCAGCAGACTGATCCAGCAATCATCTACTCTTAATCCCAGCATTGCACCACCAATCAATCACAGACTGCAGATTCAGTTATCTCTGAAAAACTTTATTCACCTATGGGGTACTGACGCAAACCGTAACATTCTGTCCTAGCCACCCCCAACCCCATAAATCCTGACAGTTTCATCATTGCTGAAAAGTTCCAGTCCTAGTTCTCCTCTGAGATTTAAGGCAAACTCTTATCTGTGTGCCTCTCCACAAATGAAAACAAAAAAATTAAACACTTCCAACATTCAATGGCACAAGATAGATGTCTTGGTTACTTTTCTCTCATTGTTAAGACAAAACATCAGACACTCAAAACTAAGGAAGGAAAGGTTACTTAGCTCACAGTTTGTGGAGGTTTCAGTCTATAATCAGCTGGCTCCAAGGCAGAGTGGCATGGCACGTTGGCAACACTTCCAGGGCAGAAGACAGCAAAGTAACAAGAACAAAAATGAGGAAGAACAAGCCTATATTTCTCCCTTATATTTTACATAGACCACTCCATCCTCCAGGGCAAATGTAGCACTCATAAAAGCTCTTGTACCTTCCTCTTGCACAGGATGAGAATATTTACAAAATAAGGATCCTGGTTTCCTGAGGAGTCTCTTAGTTATACTTCTAAACTTCTCAAATTGACATATCAACCATAACAATCTACACTTTGTAAATGAGGCAGTCATTCTTTAACCAAGATATGCTCATTTTTAACATTTTCTAACTTGAATATTATAACACAAGTTTACAATCCTTAAGAACCAGTATTAAGTCTATTAACATTATATTACATTGGAACCATAACATCTTGCCTTTGCCACCCCTTCCAAAGACTCATGCATAGCCCTTTATGAAAAAAGGCATTTTGTCCATCTGGAAGTGTTTCCAAAGTCCTAATAGATCCATAAATGCTGAAAACTTCAAGCCCCAAGTCTCCTCCAAAAATAAAGGCAAACTCTTAGCTGCAAAACCCTGAACAAATGAAAACAAAGTTAAAAACTTCCAACATACAGTGGCACAAGATATACTTTTCATTTCAAAGGTTATAAATAAGGGAATACAAAGAATTGGGACCAAAGCAAGTCCAAAATCCAGTGGGGCAAACATTAAGTCCTACAGGTCCACATCCAGGATTTGAAGCAATATGGCTGTGAGCTCCAAAGGATTTGAGTGACTCCATACCTATGGCACTTGTAATGGTTGTGGCTCCCATGGATTCTTTCTTGGGTTGGCTTTGCTTACTTCTTGCAGATTTCCTTATATGATGTATGTTTCTGGCGTTTCCAAACTGTTGGGATCCCCACTGCTCCTTCAGCTTCACATTCACAGCTTCACATGATGATCTCTCACAGGCGCACTGCCTGGCCTCCTAGACCGTCCGAAATTGCAGTTGAAGTCTTTTCAATCTCAGGACTCTTGTGTTGTATATATATGTAAAACCAGCTCCACATGGAAGATGCCTAGGTCTGTTGCCAGGTCAAGTAGTAGGCAGATTTATTTTCTCTTGGCAGTAGGGGCTCAAGCATCTGGATTACTGGGCACTTTGAATTCATTTCTGAGGAACAAATGTTTTATGATGCAACCATTCTGGAACATGGTGCAGCTGGTGTCATTCTAGAACATGGACGATGTGTGGCTTTTGTCTCAAAGCGTTTCACTTTTGAAGTCATGAGGGTAAAAAATTTGAGACTTGCTGCTTTTTGTGATATTTTCAGACCACATTTTTTAATTCTCCTGTTCTTTTACAACAATGGACATTTCAGCTCTATCTTTGCATTCCACAGCTTTACTTGAGCTTACTTTCTGGCCAAACTTGTAATATTTTAAATCATTCTGTTGGACTTTTGGTCTTGATTCTCAACATTAATCTGGAAATAGTTCAGCATAGTAGCCCTTTCATTGCCTCAATATTTGATCATCTTGAAATTTCTTCCAGCAATTTAATTAGTCTGCCAAACTTAAACTTCGTCTTAGACAAGGTCTCTGAATATGAGAAAAAAAGCCGACAAACTTTCTGCAAATTTATAACACACACAGTCTTGAGTACAAGAGCCAATGCAGTCCTCCTTCCCATCAGAAACCTTCTGAACCTGGTCTTTACCAGTAGGACTTTTGTTACTCTCCTGCTTTTCTGAATTCTAACCAGAATCTCCCTTTCAGAACAGCATAAGGCACTGCAGCTCTGCTGGTTCATCAGGCACCTCTGAGCCTTCCCAAATTCTTGCCATAAGACATTGCCAAAAGCTCTAAAATTACATAGTGAAATATAGTCACTACAACAACCCACTCTCGATATCAAATTCTGTCTTAGTTACTTTTCTCATTGATTAGACAAAATATCTGACTCCCAACATTAAGGAAAGAAAGATTTATGCAGCTCACAGTTTGTAGAAGTTCCAGTCCATAATCAGCCAGTTCCAAGACAAGATGACTTGGCAAAGGAGACAGTTCATGGCAGGAAGACTGTAGCAAAGCAAAAAGGGAAAGAGAGACAATCCTCTTCTGTTTCTTATTGTATCTAGTCTACTGGGATTAGGGTGGTGCCAATCCAACCAGTGAACACATCCAACAATTACCCACCCTTAATCTAAATGAGCACCTTTAAAATCAGCATTTCACTAGCAATCAATCACATACTCTAGATCCAGCTACCTCTGAAAAAGGTCTATGATTGCATGAGGCTTTGAGGGGACCTCTAGACAGAGACCATAACAAGTTACATATTTTTACATCACCAGAAACTTTTTATTGAGAGCATCAATTGTTCTATCCCATAGCAATAGGTTCACAAATAGCTCACAGTTCATTCTCTTTAAACTACTCTTTCCACTGTAAAATTTCTATTCACTGTATTTCTCACTCTTCTCAATTCATGAGTTTATATATTAAAACAAAATATATTTATGAATAAAAGGTGAAAATAAAACAATCCTCCTTCTGTATACTCAAGTTCAAAGAATAAAGGATGAAGGAAAACATCTGTTGGCGAGCACACTTGAAGAGTTACTCTTAAAGAGACTGGTTGAAAAGGAATCACTACACCATCATAAACTTAGCATAGTATATTTTCAATCATGTTTCTTTTTATCCAAAGAGGAACTTGTCACAGAGTTAAATAATGTAATGGTACTTTGAAAATGGAATTCAGGAGTATCAAAGCACATTGTAGGTTCTCAAATAGAAGAACAATCCTGAGGCCAAGAACTTTCAAATCTTAGTGACTTCATTTTTTCTTTACTAACTTTCTGCTTTTCTAAAACAGACTAAAGGTTTCTTTACTTTCAATTCATTTAGTATGAAAATCTTAATATATTTTCCATTTTAATTCTGCTAAAATTTATAAAACTTTTGCATATACAATGTAGGATTAAGGTTGTATCATGGGAGATGCAATATTCAAACATTTTCCTCATTCCATTAGCATATTTTGAGCCTGTGCACAAAATAAAACATACAAGAACTTTAATGAAGTACTGCCCTCAGGAGAATGAAAAACCTATTTCCTATGTTTAGAACTACAAACAGGTAGAGGGCTTAAATTCTAGCAGATATAAAAGAAAAGGAAACCATAAAACAAAAAGATTTTTCATTTAAGTGTTATTCAAAAATCAGCATACTAGTAACAAGTCCCTGAGGAATGTGAAGAAGTTGAATTT